ATAATTATATGACAATATGTGATTATACCTTTATAACTAAAACAAATCTTGAAATTATATTTTAAGCTTAAATTGCCGGATAATGCGCTTGAAGAATAAAAAACGGATTTCGTCCAAAAACTAAATCACGAGACTTTCAAATTTACACGACGCAGTCGCTAAATTAAGGTACCTTATCACACCTAAGTGTGGCAACAGACCGTCTGCTTAAGGGTCAATTTAGGTGAATTTTCATTGTCAGTTTAGTTTCATTTTCCCCTATAATAACATTACTGCATCTAGAGAGAGTGCTAACTCAATTATATGTATATATATACTATAGTATAATCACTACTTGAATCAAGAATGATACTCGCCATTGGTATACCGTAACAAAATTCATGAAAGGATATCGGCGTAGTAGACTCCGTAAACCTTTCAATGGGCCGATCCGTTTTGACCTCTAACTAGACTGAAAAAAGATTATATTTATTAATTATTAACAATTATAAATACATAACTTATGTGTAATTGACAAAAGTCTAGTATTGGTAAAATATTTACAAATACAAAGAATTCATATTTGTCCGTGTTAAAATAAGCAATGTGTCAGAGAATGAGATAAATAAATAGACATTTAAAGGAAGAGTTGCACATCTTAGTTGTTGGTTTTAAGTCTTATGTTCTTCTCATTTTACTTCTTGTGTGTTTTTCCATACATGCTATTATTGTTTGATGTAATACGATTAATTTTGTAGCAAGTCCATGGATCAAGCATTCAGTAGCAGTGGAGCTCCTTGTAAGTTCGTCCAGGGAAGTACTACTACCTTACCTACTTCTGCCGCCAAGCAGCATTATTGCGTTCCAGTTTAGAAGGGTAAGGGTGCTTGCTGGTGAAATTACGTGCACATGGGACTTGTCAATTTATGTCTTAGGTTGACGATCGCAATCTTTGAGATTTAAGTTTTGCGAATGCCATTGTAACTGTTTTGGAAAAGCGTGTCGCTCACCACAAGGCGCACAACTTGTCCGTGCAGTCACTTGGTATTATAAAAAAATGAAGTCATATAAGAAATAATTCATTTAGTCCGAACAGGATTTTAGAGACAAAATATTATATATAACTCAGTTCCATTAAAGTGTAAGTAAAATTAGAGCAATGTATTTAACACACAACATTGTCAATCCTTGGTCTCTACCAGAAAGTCAGATACCATGGTAACACTTATAGAATCACTAAAATGATAAAGAAGTACAAAATTTTGCATGTACATATGTACATTGGAAAGCCATCCAAGAAACATAAATGTAGTGTGGGGTGAAAAACTGTCCTCCGAAGCTGATCTCGTTTATGAAAATAAATAGAACCAACTTTTACCACTGAATGCAGAAAATCTGATCTTCATCCACCATAATTTGCCTTATTGAAATTGGAGTACTAAATTTACAGAACATTATCTAACTTGATAGTTCTTTCAGTTACAAGTAATAAACAAAATGTCAACGATCCTTTAGTTGCTGTTTATCCTAATAATAACATCTTAAATCATTAAATCAATTTATTTGGTGTACTGATTATGAATTTTGCTCAGTTTGAAGCATCCAGTATCTGGCCTTTACTTCGTTCTACTATCCGATATTCGGCCGGATAATAAATATAGACTGGATACTAGATAGTTTCCAGATATCCATTTCATCTCTACTCAAAATGCAAACCTGATCTTGGACCTAAGCCACTCACCTTACCTCTATAAGAGACAGGTGGTGTTTATGTGTTTTGTATCCTGATTAGCAAGCAACTGAAGCAATATGACATTTTTCTTATATAACAATGACCTGTTTAAGTCATGAGCAAATAAACTTTGTGGATGGTAGCCAAATGCATCCTGCAATTAACACGGCTTATCATAGCTGGTAGTGATTGTGGGCCAGATTTGACTAAACTATGGCACAGTCAAGAGCAAATGCAGCTTGACAATCTTGATTCAATATCGCAACGAAACAAATTGTGCCACAGTTAAGTTGATGTAGTCAAAATGTATGCATAATACAAGAGCAGATACAAAAAAGAATAAAAAATAATGTTCATAGGTTTTTCACAGCAAAAAAGTTGTTCAAACCCAAAAACAAAGATCGGCTACAAGCACTTAGAGAAATACATGAGGTCTACTAATTTCTTCCATAGTGCAATTGGGAGAACAGTAGCCCTGGTCTGGCAGACAGTCGCTAGTTCGAATCCAGCCAGATAGAAGGAATTTTTCTTTACATTTGATCAATATTTGTATCAATAACAACACTGGACTAGAGAGTATTTTAACAAAAAAAGAAAAATTAATATTATGGTAAAAAACAACATGATATTTAACTAACAAAAATTATGCAATAAAAAATAGAACTAAGTCAACAGCATCATTGTTTCAATCTATAATTTTACCAGCTGAACAGACCTTTTTCCTCCGAAGATTACCAATGTCAGTCTATCAGTCTTTCTATGCTGTATATGTACCAAAAAGTAACAATAAATGAACCTCCCTAAAGTGTTTTATATTTCATTAAGATTATTGATTTTTAAGTCTTATAATTATTGTATTTATTCTTTGTATTTATTTTAATTACAATCACTTAATTGATTTCTTATTTTATCTTTTTTTGTCTTGGCAACGATTGTAGTTTTGATTATATAAAAACATGAGAACTTATTTTAAATCTTGTTGAGTTACAGACATATATTGTATGATATAATACAAAATATTTTATAAAACTATTTACAGGACTCAGATTGCATTATATGCATATTATAAGTGCATTTTTCTTTCACATATTTTGCAAAAGTAAACAATGGCAGGCTTTTCACTGTCAGTAATATTATACAAACAAATTACATTAAAAGTATAAGGATTTGTTCAATTTATTATCAGAATCAGCAAAACCAATTCACACTTAGTTTCACTATTGTTTGGTTGTTCTTGTTATCACAAAAATTTACAGTTACAGTACAGTGACATTATGAACTAAATAATAATTCAGCAAACTGTTTGCAATTCTCTCCCAGCTAAAATGAGATTAATATGTACCCAAATAAAATAAAATCATGTGCTCTGCAATAATATTCACATAGCAACCTCTTAAGGCCTCATAGCCATGAATTATAAGAAAAATTATAAGAAAATTACATAACAATTGTAACAGCTGTCCATATTTTAATTGCTAGTTACTATGGCAATTACCATGGATTTAAACAAATTTTAAATGATGATTCCCCTAAATCACAAAATCGCTCATTGAAAGCAGATCTGGTATTTTTTTAGCTAACAATCAAGGCACTTCTATTTATATTGCCATATTCAGTCTTTTGATCGGCGGGGAGAGCAATTTTCCAGTTTAGAGAAAATCCCCCATAAAACGATTCTGCTATTAAAAATTGAAAACAACCATTACTTAAGAACCAGTATAATCCATTCTCCACACCCGCTGCGTGGAACCTACAATCAAATAGATTAAAACAATAATCATAAAGCAGTAACGGTACGTGCACGAGTACGTAATGCGAGCCTTTCACACAACATATGGTCCATCTGTAATCTATCGATTACTCGCATTGTATAATTGTATACGTAGATAATGCATCCAGAAGACCTTTCAATATGACCTTCGGTCACCTAAATTGAGTTATGATGAAAGGCACGCACGAATTTCTGCTTTCCATTGATTTTTAGTTGCACGACTTTTTATCAGAACTCTAGCAAACACGACAAATTTTCAATTTAATTTCCACACTCCTTTACTCTTATACCACTTACTTTGCACAACAAAGCTGATATCAGGTCACTGCACCCAATATTTTCCATATTTCATGCCACACAAATTCACACACGATATCATTTTCGCCAAAATCCACAAACAAAAAAAACCAACGTAATGAGAGGAAGCGCATCGTTCAAGCTTCAAATTTATACTGACAGCCATGCTGGTGATGAGTCCGTCTTTATTGTGGACTTGTGCGCTGATTGGCCCGCGAGCAGCTCATAAAAAAAATTTATTGCGATATACAACCAATCCCAGACAAGAATTCAAAATTCTTGGTTTTCTGCCAAAAATATTGTAGATTGAAACGCAAATATGGTGTCATTTTATTTTTATAAATTCATGTTTGAATTAACTGCTTTTTAATTTACGAATACACCGACAAAGTTTTTATAAAAATATAACACGGCTACATGTAATCATGGAAACTTAAAATTCATATGGTTACGATTATAGATAACAGCAAAACAAAGATATTGACAAGATTTTAAAACAATTTATTTATCTGCAACAAAATATTATTATTCAAATAAACATTACGTTTAAAACTCTTAAAAATAATACACACAGCTAAAAGAAAGGAATGGAACGCAATGATAAAAGTTTCTCTCTTTGCCGTCAAGTCAATGTTATTTACTTTAATTTGTCATTAGTGTTGGGTAAAGACATGAAATTAAAATGAGTTGGGAATACATCATTTGAAAAAATGAGGCGGTACAATGTGTGTACCTACTCTAAATGAGTTGAGGTAGTGGTAAGAATATTTACATATACACCTACGGCAATGACTCAACAGACGGGTGACGGCTTAATATTTAAGCACATTTTCATAACTTAACGGTATCAATCATTTGGATAACTTAAGTGTTATGATATAGTATAAATAAATGCTGGCTTTATTTAGTACGTGGTAGTATAATCATAATGTAAAATCAGCTACAAAGCGAGCCGTGCAGGACCAATCATTGTCGCATTTGTTAAATTCAAAGCAGTGCGACATGAGTGAGGCTATGATATGAGGTGAGGTGTGAGGTGGGATATTATTATGACATGAGGTGTTGTGACAGACTAACCAAGCGAGTGTTACAAACGAGTTGCCTCGTGTATGAGTAACTCAACACTGTTTGTCATTGTGAATTTTCAAGTTAGCTTTTCAGTTGTCAACTACAGTTTTAGTTTGTGTTTATGGAGCCATAATAGCATTTAAAAGAAGATAGCGAAAATATTAACCACTTTGAATCACTTTAAAAGTACCCTAAACATTAAAAATTCCGTTGCACTGTCGTTTATTTTATCGTAGAGTAGGCACATAAGTATTTTATGTGACTCTGAAAGCACCACTGAGTTTTAGGTTAGAATTTTTCCGCGTGAGACTTTATTCTCGTGCTTTTATTATTTTTATGTATTACTATTGAATAAAATTACAACATTAGGAAATTAAGAAAGTAATAAATAGCCATGGGGAAAAAAAAGAACAAGAACCAGGAGCGCAAGAAGAAAGTCGCCTTGGTCTTTGACGAAGCTAAAAGGAAGTGAGTACCTATTTAGAATAAAACCAACAAAAACGGATTTTTTCAAATTCTGTCGATAAAAATTAATAAACAAAATCTTATTTACAGAGACTTTTTGTGTGGTTTCCGCAAAAGAAAGTTAGAGAGAAAGAAGAAGGCGCAAGAAGAATTGCAGCAAATGCTGAAAGAAGAGAAAAAACGAATAAAGCAAGAGGTAAACTTTATTTGTAAAATCAGTAACATTCCTTCGAATGCCAATTGTTTTTGTAATGATGTACTACAATACTATTGTCTTCATAGAGAAGCAGGTATTGATTCCCCATACAAAAAGCTGCCCTTATTTCTGCTCACCTACCCGTCCAGTACTTTACAACTTGTAGGAGCCATCTCTTGTGTAAAAGTAACTGCAAATGTAAATGGTCTTCAAAATTATGCGTGACCTATACTTAATTTTTTTAGCATACCAAATTAGGTAATGAAGGACTCTTAGTACCTACTTCTTCAGAAATTTGTGGTAAGGGAATTAAGCTCAAAGGATTCAGATTGTCTTATTGTGACACACAATAGCCAACTCAGGCATAACAATTATTTTACTTAGATCACCAGGGGGAAGGAGACAAAATATAATATTTCTAAATAAATGAAACAAACTTTGGAAGTAAAAATATATATGAAAGAGGTAAAAATATATATGAAAGAGGTAAATTTAAGTAATTTAATAAAAAAGAATTTATTATCCTTATTTCCAACGTTAGTGGTAGTTCTTACCCTAAAACTTCTTGTTTGAGGAACTCGGCATTAGCAAGACTCAAGAGGAAAGTCAGAATAACAAGGCAATGGCCCAGTTCCTCGATAAAATGCCACATCATATTTCAGTCTGATGACTGATAGCAATAATAAATCACAAAAAAATAATTACTTGGTCTATTAAAGCTGTACTCCCATTAATGTGATCAATTTTACCACTTATCATTATTACTTGGTTTGATGTCAAAAGAAAACATTTGTTAAGCTCTTTGAAGATGTGAAGTTTATGTGCATGAGCCTACAGAAAAAGAATGAATTGGTACAATGTGTACCCAATAATGTGCAGATCAGTATACTGCTTATCATTATTGCACTGATGTTAAATGAAAACATTTGTTCAAAGCTCTTCAAAGTTGTCCTTTATACATATTGGATCAATGTGGTAGACTGTGGTCTAACTCCTTTCATTAGAGGAGCCTATGAAAAGATTCAGTGCTGGTTCCTTAAGTTGAAAAAGAATTTTTTACTGATGAGTGATGTTTTATTAGATACAGAAATATTACTTGGTACTTGGTGTAATGGGCTAGTGTCCGCAACTCGACGTCAAGGCGCCTATTTTACAGAAATATTATTATACACATTTAAAAATAACTACATAATAATTTGTTCTATTTTCAGAATAAAGAATCCTACAAAAAGCTAGTTGTATCAAGTCGTCCCATTCCTGACATAGAACAACTGCTACAAGAAGAATATGAAGATGAAGATGTAAACGTTAAAATAGTCGAATTATCATCAGACACTTTACAAAAGAGAGATTTGGTCATTGGAGAAAATAAACCTAGATTAAAGAAACCTACATTGGAAGCAAAGAAGAAAGAAAATAGCACTTTTAATGGGATAAAAGGCATGGAAACTAATGCAGAAAATGAAGAAGAAGAATCTGAAATAGAGAATGAAGAATCTAATGTTAAAACTAAAAAAGAATTGAAAAGAATGTTAAAAAAACAAGCTACAAAGAAAATACAAAAAAGCAAAGTGTTTCAAATGAAAAGTAAATTGGAAAGAATTAAGAATAAAAAGAAGGCACAGCAGAAGAAGGGACATATGAAAGCTAAGAGTGACCCTAGAAAGGATAAGTCTAAAAAGAAAATAGGCAGACGAAAACACTAGTTAGCTTACAGATTAAGGTTGTTAAGTAAATGACAAAATGCTAAATGAATGGGATTTTATTATAACATTCCTGTAACAATTGTAGAAAGTAAAAATAACTCTTTTTTTAATTGTATACAAATAATTACGATAAAAAATGAGGTGTATTCAAATCACAAATAATCTTAATTTAAGGACACATTACATGCAAAAGGAAACATAAAACTTACAAATATATAAAAGACAAGATTGTTCTTTTAAGATATTTAACAATGCAACAGATATTACAAAACTTATCTCTTAAAAGCTAGCAAGAATTTAACAAATTTGGCGCAAGAAGAATGCAAGAAGATATTTGTTTGCAAAAATAACATTTTTTATATGTCACTTGGTTTTATTTTTTGGCGATTTTCTTTTCACTTCAGGTTTAGCATTACGTTTATTTTGATTACTTTTTGTAGAAAATGTATTTTGAGATTCATCAGCTTGTGCTTGTTTTTTGGGTGTAACCCTACGCTTTTTAGGAGAATCTTTCTTTGCTTCAACAGTGTCATAAACTTTTCCCAAATCACCGTCTTGGATATTTTGTTCCTTTTTAGTTATTTTTCTTTTTGGAGAAGCTTTTTTCTTTTCTGCTTTAACTGGTAAATGTATCTTTTTGTCTTCAAAATTATCCATTTCTTCATCTTTAATCTTTTGTTTTCCTTGTATGTCTTCCACGAAATTTGCCTTTTTGCTTGTTGCTTCGTCATTTTGAAAAGCGCGGTTGTTATCTTGCTTTACAACTTGTTGTTTTTGTTTACGAGTAACCTTTTTTCTCGGCGACTTATCCAAGTCCAATTCCTTCTTAACATCTAAAAGACCTAGTACTTGATTCTTCTCTTCTTTCACTGGTGATTTCTTAGGAGTTTTTTTGGGGGTCTTTCTAGCCAAATCACGTGAAGGACAAATGTCGTTGTTTAAACATTCATAGCACATAGGGCCTATGGGAAGGCAAATGGTTTGTCCAAAGCCAACCATGAGATGGTTTACTTCACTCCAAAGGTCGAAAGGCAACCAAGTTTCAAGAGCCTTACGAGTATCTTCAGGGGTTGATGTGGGTTTTTTTACCCAGCCTATTCTATTGCTAATTCTATGGACATGGGTGTCTACACCTGGAAAGGAAAGTCTGCTTATGAGCATTACAACAACACAATATGGATTTGGCCTACCAACAAATGGACATCGGGTCTAATACAAAAACCACCAAAAAAATGTCCGAACTTAACCTATATAAACGTAGTGACATGTAACGAAATATAAAAAACTAAAACATTTAAATTGTAACGTCATGGCAGTACTGCCTAATTTTGCTTGCAACAATTTAAGTGCCCAAAAACACCATATTCAGCTACTGGAAACTTAACAAAATGCACCATATTTAGCTTCGACTGAAAATTACTTGAACACAAGAGTAATGGAGTGCTATCTATATATAAGAAGAGTAGCCTTTCTCCTAATGTTAATTAATTTTTACATATATTATTATGTCGAATTTTGTACAAATTTACTTAAAGAAATAATAAAGAGTTGGGCAGATACATACATAGAAATATTACTACAAATGTGAAAATAAGCGTGTACTATAAGAAATGTACCGATATTCCAACTAAACGTAAACTCAAATATCCGCTTTCAAGTAATTTTGATGCTTCTCACAAAGCCAAAATTAGCTTTTGTTTTGTAATGTTCCTAAAAAAATACATTTAACATTATGAAAATTCGAGCTAACGTTATTTCGGGCAAATGTATTTTCTGACTTCTGATAGGTAATCCCTAACTGTAAAACGAATACAACAATGTTTTGTTAGTTATTGCTAACGTTTAATAAAAAGTCATTTTAAAAATAAGATTAAAATCAACACAACTCTATAGTTTCTTTGTTCCAAATATTTCAATCGCTTATGGTTCGAACAATTGAAAATGACCAAGTAGTTTATATACGCTTCTTGAAATTGACGTAATGGGTCTCTTTCCATCTTTTGCGCATGCAAGGTGTAGAAAAAGGGCAGATAGTGATTTAATTATTTTGTTTACTTTTGTAATGTATATTTACGATTAATTTATATATAAATTAAATACTATACAACTGTACAAAATAACACTTTTAAATGATAACTATGATAACACAATATATTTGTTTAGTGAAAATATGATACAAAATCCTGTTTATACACTTTACTGCAGTAATTTTACAAGTTATTATTATATATAGTACTGCATAATTGACAAGCGCGCTGTCAGTCGAACAAACCAAGACTGTTGCGCGATTGATGCTCTGTATGCGATTTTAACGCCCTATAGGTGTGAACACTTTTTAGCGCGAATCCAACGTCCATTTGTTAATAGGTCAATGGGATTTGGCATTAATTTATTATTTGTGTTTAAACACTGTGGGAAGTATTCTCTGATAATTATTAATAATTAAGGTTATTATCATTACAGAATACTTCTAACACGCTGAGCAAGTGTCTCATCTGACCAAGTCAGAAATGCTATGGCTATGAGCTTATGTACTTACAAGCTAAATAAAATTTATCTTACCTATTCCAGTGACTCGATTCCATGCAACCTTCATACAAATATGCGCCATCTTTGGGCCAACTCCTGGTAGCTTACACAACTTCTCCACAGAGTCGGGGATATCACCATTGTATTGTTCCTTTAGTATCTCTGTTGTTTTTTTTATATATTTTATTTTTGTCTGAAATAAATTTAGTAAAAATTAAAAACATATGCATAAAATAAATTATTAATATGGCAAAAATAAATTACAGTTCCGCAAGTTCTATCACAATATTCATTTGTAAAAGGCAAACCTTCCAAAAGCCAACTGGGTAAATGAGCTGTCCTAATTCCTCATCAGACATCTTCAAGACGTTTTCGACTGTGAGGCCCCTGACGCGGAGTCGCTTCATTGCAGCAAATGTCACCTGGTCTTTAGTCTGGCTAGACAGCATCAGGGATACGAGACTCTGGTATCTAATAACCTGTGGATATCAAGAAGTTCGTATTTTAGGCAACAGCCTTTGTAAATTACCACATTATTAAACACCACATTTTTCGTTATTTAATACAGTATGGAGCGGTCCAATTATTTTTTTGTCGTTCGCAACCAACTAATATTTCTATAAAACTAGTTGTTAATGAGCAAATACGAAAAATCAACTTATTGACTTTTCTTAGTATAATATTTTTAAACTAAATTATAGTCTTATGTGCGTTTTTATATTTAATTAGCAATATTATCTTTACTACAATACAATGAAGCAATAAACATATGTATTTTTTAAGGAAAATCTCACTTCAGGAGCAGCATCCAGGTCCATGCTCATGTGACACCCCATGGAGTCCACAGGTGCATCATTGTTTGACCTCATATTCCTTAAATTGAGCAGGAAGTCTCTCCAGTGTGGTGGCTCCCACAAACCTGGTAATTTTGGTTCCTATATAAACAGAAAGCAGATATTTTCAATAAAAAAAATTGTATAACATTAACCCATTGCAAGTTCCTACTAATTCAATGCACTTGAAAAATACCTGTAATTATGATACCTGATGAAATTATAATGTGTTTTCAATCATACAATGTTGTAATTGATAAACAGATTACAAATTAACAATCACTAAAATCATGCCTCTTTCCATTGCACAATAAAATTTAAAACATTTAAATTTTATGCTTCAATAAAGTGAATCAAATAGACAAAGTAAAGAAATAAGAAGGAAAACTAAAGTGACTGATTCTTTAAACTAATGATGCATTTACACCATTAAACTAATGCATTCACACCGGGTCAACTGCCGCCTTTGGCAAACTATTTCGCCTTGTCAAAGGCGACGACACAGTCGACTCACCGTTTCTACCGAGCCGTCTACCACCCGTCTACCGTCTTCGGCAGACTACTTCGCCTTGCCGAGTGCGACGCAGTCGACTCTCCGATTTACACAGAATCATTTGCCGCCTTCGCTTACAAAGTTATTAACCCAAAAACCCCCACATAATTATCTCGAGAAAAAAAATAAGTATTAGTAAAATTGAAAATTGTTTTTTGCCACATCTCACATTTGCAAATGGCAACGCATACAATAAGCAAATAACTATTTATAAATTTAGGAACACATCGCACACTTGTATGGTGTTTCTTTTAGTGCAATGTTATGTTATGTTCATCATAATTGATGTTTTTTATTAACAACATCAAAGTATCGATATGTCAACTCATCATCATTTCACAGCCTGATTTCACCCACTGCTGGGTATAGGCCTCGCGAAGTTTGTGCCATCCACCACGGTCCTGCGACGCATAATATGTCGTCGATCCATCTTGCAACTGGGCGCCAGACGCTTCTTTTACCCACTGTCGGCATGTCATTACCCTTGCATTGCTATGTGTTCCGCCCAACCATATTTGAGTTCCATGGTCCGAGTTCTAGCATCCTGGACTTTCGTCTGTGGTCGGATCTCAACGTTCGGATATTGGTCTACAAGCCTGATGCCAAGGACGATGTGCTCCATGGCCCTCTGTGCAACTCTCAACTTGTGTACAGTCTCCAGTGTGAGCATTCATGTCTCGGCACCATTCGTCATGGTCAGCGATGAGTAGATTAATAAATCAACACCAGAGTATCAATTAATGTAAGGGACAAACCACAGTTTTCCAGAAGAGCCAAAAACAATTTAATTTTTTTTATCTGTCTTTATAACTGTTTACTGTCTGCTCCAATTTTGAATGTGTGTAGAGCAAAGTTTCTTAGAATTTCCTCTTCTTTCATAGTATAAATGAAATATTTAGGAATGCCCAGTGATTTAAAATAAAACATGTTACGTTAAAAAACATTAAAAAAAGATATTTAGTTGTGCCTTACGTTACTAATATTTTATGTGTAAACCGTTGAGCATAGTGTAAGCAAGAAGAGAAATAGAAAATTATATGTAATTCTATTGTAAAGAATCCTTTACAATAGTTTTAACAGCTCTATGTTGCTCCTTGTAGCTTTATCTTTAAATGTGGAACACCTTTTTGTGACCATTGGTTATTGGTACTGTATTTGGACACACTATTTCTAGAATTTTGAAATAGACATAACTTTTGCTTAAGCTTCGATTTATAAAAATGGAAGGTTGTCATGGACTAACAACGCTATTTATTCATTGGGAAGGACTGTACATTACCATCGCACGATTTGAGGGGTGGGAGGGGGGAGGGGGGAACCCTTCGTGCAAAGTTTCAAAGTTAGGAAGTTAATAGTTTTCGAGATATTAATTTTTGAAAATTCGAAAAAAATAACCTCAAAAAATCATGTTTTCGCACCAAAGAGCGGGGTAAACCCCTCCCCCGAACCCCTAGCGGGGAAAAACCACCCCCCCAACCCCTCTTCCTGTGTTATATGAAAAACTAAATTTAAACCTAAAACCAGGCAAAAATGCAAAATCCTACAATTGATGCATACATCAAACAGTAAACAACAACAAACAACATGGCGTTCTTTACGCGTTTCGTTATTTTTTTGCAACAAAAAATAATTATTCAAAAATAAAAGCTTACATACTAATTATAGTAAATTTCTATGTTAAATTTACAATTACGTATTAATTTGTGCTGTTTAATTCAATACTGCGGAAAATTTTTGAAATAACGCAAAAAAATAAATTTGCGTTATTTCAAAAAAAATACTGCAACAACCAAACGCTGTGTTTTCCTAACCTATAAAACCTGTTTCCTATCATATATTTTCGAATATTTCAATAATTTTTATTATCAAAACTACGAGTTTCCTAAAGCTAATATTTTAGGATTACACTGCTAACCATGTAATCTATTCACCATATTAATTTCAACTCTCAACTCGTGCGATGGTAATGTACAGTTGAGCCATTTCCGATTACTTACTTAAGTTAGAAAATTAATACATACTTTAACATATTTTTGACTTAATACATATTTTTGATTTGTAAATCCTCACCTCCTTAACTGGCGGGTCATTTTCGAAAGCAATCTTAATATGAGGTCGCTTTTCAAATTTGAATTGACTCAAATTCAGTCCACCACTACCACCAGGGGGGCTATCCAGTTCTTCCTTCACGAGTTTATTATCATTTTCATTGGACATTTCATGAATTGCCGGTTTGGTATTTTTATTCTTTCCTTTCTGTTCCTTAACGACGTCGACGGCAACGGAGCTTTCAGCAAGTTTAGGTTTGCATCGAGGCATTTTTTTGAGTACTCTTGTGATAAAAATCGTTTTGAATTATAATACGATCACAAGCTAAAAGAGTGTTACACTACAAAAAGGTTGGGATCAGTAAGCACCGGCTCTCCTTAAATTTTTTTTTGTTGTTTTGGCTTCTATTCTCATTTTGACATTGACAGTCGTATTTTTTTTTAAATATTAATTTCACGGCAATCAGAACATT